CAGATGTTCTTCCAAGCAGAGGCTACAGGCCTTCGACTTGACGGTCTTCAACCTGGGTGTGCTGCTTCTAGAAGGGGTCTTCCCACAGGGTAGTTGCCTCCGCCCTCAGTCCTGAGGGAGAGAGGGATGCTGACCATCGCAAGGTCTCATGATGAAATCTGGAAGATTTGGTTACTAATCTTCTGGGTTGTCTGTGACTTCCAGTCAAGGTTGAGGAAGAAAAACTGAGATGAGGTCGTTCAGACTCTCAGGTTTTAAAAATAGGAAGGTCACACTTAAGCAGCCGGGTGTTAACAGCACGAAGATCGTCCCATCAGAGTGGAGGGGTGCCTCCTGAGAGCAGGGCCCTACCCCTGGTTCCTCCCTTATTTAGAAGACATTTGTTTTAAAAGGAACTAAAGTTGCTGTTAAGGTCCCGAGGGGGAATTATTTTCCGAAGCAGGTGAATTTTCTGTTACTTTTTGTATAAAAACAGCTGTCTGGTGGCACACATGCCTTCTGAGAGTCTTCTCAGAAAAGGCTCTCTGGGCCACCACATGCTGACTCTGTGGAGGGAAGAAGCCTGAGGGAAGGCCCTCATGCGGGCCAGCTGCCTACTCACCCCTTCAGACGAAAAGCCATCTCACTCCAGACGCTCTTGCTTTTTTGTCTCACCCGGCAGCAGTTGTAAAATAATTTCGGGACTCTTCACAGAGCTGTTCCTTTGAGACGGAAGGGAAGCCACTCGGCTGCAATTTCAACCGTTCCATTTCTGCAATGGTAAGATGCTGTCCCCCGGGCTGAGCACATGACTCAAAAATAGCAAGTTATTTCTGGAACGTACTGACTGTCAGGACCTCTCTGCCGTTTACTAGCTAGGCGGCCTCAGTTTCCCTCAAAAACCTGAAAGGAGAATGTGCACCTCTAAACTGTCTTCTTACCAAGAGAAACAGGAAGTTTAGTGGGGAGTTCATAAAAATGATATGGAAACCACGAAAAGCCACAGTGGGAACACATGCTTTTATTCCTGTTGCTATCTTTCTGTTCTTAGTCGTCCCCCCCCCCCGCCCCCGAAATAAGTGCAGGGGTGCTTGCATGAGCGACGAGGGATGAGGTGCTGATGGAGCATCACAGTTTGGAAACTTCCAGAAAATATAATAGGCTTAGCCTGTGGAGGGAACAGATGTCTCTGGTAGGGGAGGAGCCTCGTGGGTCAGTGAGTGACACATCCACCCCCAGTGAGAGGTGACATGTCAGGCTGGTGAGTGTCCTCTTTTTATGTGAAGTTTGGTCCAAAGGTGGACCCTGGCCCTGGAGGACAAAGGTCCTGAGAGAGGACTGATCAGTGGACACAGAGAGACGGTGAGGCTGGACCAGGGACTCGTAGTTAAGAGGTGGGAGGTAGAACAGGGCTGGCCGTGAGGCCCTGATACTCATGCGGATGAGTTTTGACCTTTCCTCTGTGTAAGGCGGAGGGATGGGGAGTTTGGAGAAAAGAGGAAAACTCCAGCTTAGACCTTAGACCATCCATTAAAAAAGAAATCTATCAAACTCCTCAGCTAAGGAGTCTTTTAGCGGTGGCTGGGCATTAGTGTAGTTGGGCGGGGTGGGGCAAACTGCATGCTGAGACCCTGGTGTCCTCTCAGAAGGCCTCAGAGTCCATTGAGGACTTCGCTGGCCTTTCCTTACATCAGTTTTACGTTTGCTTTATTTCCTGTGTGTGGACAAGTCCGCTAAGTTGATTCTCTCAGGGGCTCGAACTCAGTTCGTTGGACTTGGTGGCGGGTGCCTTTACCGGAGGAGCCCGGACTACCCCTCCATACCCTTTCAAAAGGAGATAAGTCATTCCTCACATGTACCTTGAAAGCACATTTTTTCTTCTTTCTTTACGATGGTTTTTGGATGTACTTGTTTTATGTATAGGAGTGTTTGGCCTGCATGTATGTATGTGCACGGAGTGTGGTGTGCCTGGTGCCCTTAGAGGCCAGAAGAAGGCATCCGATTGTCTGGAACTGCAGTTACAGATGGTTGTGAGCCTCCCTGTGGCTGCTGGGAACCCGACTCAGGTCCTTTACAAGAACAGCAAGTGCTCTTAACTATTGAGCCATCTTTCCAGCTTCCCAAAGCACATTTCCCCCCTAATCAAAATGGGTGGCTGTGAGATGGTGAAGCAAGTGAGGGCCCTTGCTGGGAGTCCAGCATCCTGTTCCATCCTCAGGACCCATGCTGCTGGAAGGAGAGAATAGGATCTTACAAGTGGTCCTCTGACCGCTACATGAACACTCTGGCACACACACACACACACACACACACACACACACACACACACACACACTAAATACAAAAAAGAACAAAAAAGCTAAACCCCCAAGCAACCAATTGTGCTTATTTGGGATTTATGACTTATTACTTTTGACATTTTTTAGTCTGTTCTCCAGAGTAGCTTATGAGCAAGTCGAGATTAGATTGTGGTTCGTTTTGTTTCTGGGGAACCAGTGTGGAGAAGGCAGTCAGGAAGCTTGTCCCATGGAAGAGTGACTGAGAGGATGGAACAATGTCACTGAGAGTGTGGAGGACAGGGTGGGTGTGCAACATGTCCAGGAAACAGAACTAACGACTCGCTGGATACAGAAGTGCGGACTCAGAGGGGATGGGGGGATGTCTCTTTTGGGGCCTCTGGAGGATGCTGCTCTTCAAGGCTTAAAACTCAAGGAAAAACGTGGGAAAAGAGGAAAACTCCAGCTTAGACCGTCCACTTAAAAAAAAAAAAATCTATCCAACTCCTCAGCTCTACCAGGTGGCCCCGAGGCAGACAGGTTAAACACTTGAGTTTCTTGAGAAAAATAAATGATAACTCATGTGCAATGATCCCAAAGGTGGTGTGTTGTGGTAGGTGGCATGACTGAGCTCTCTCTAGGTCTGCAGACTCCAGGAGGATCCCTCTGAGTGGCGTGTGAACTGAAATTTAGAGTTTGGCAAACCCAAAGGAGAAAAGCATGTGTGTGAGAGCATCCTGGAATATTTAGACGTGAGGAAGGGATTCATTTCGCTCTAAGGACTAGGTGAGGCACTGGTAGGTGGTGGGGTGGCTGAGGTCAGAGCCGCAGGGTGACACAGCTTTTCTGCATGCCCGGGAACTTGCGGTCTCTGTAGTCTCTAAAGGCTGTGGTAGAGCATTCTTTCAAGCAGAGGAAATACGGTCAGATTTGTTTTAAAAACACAAGGCTGGGTCCAAGCCAGAGGAGCATGGCCAGAGGCGGAGTGGGAGGTGAGCATGGCGGAGGGGTGAGGGGAAGGGGAAGCAGCAGAGGCCTCGATGTCTAGAAGGTTGTGTTTGAAATGCTCTGCACCCCGCGGGCTCTGGCCTTGTTAGTGCTGTCCGTTTTCCTGCCCTGCATGGAAAGGTCTTCGGGAGTGTGTGAAGTCAGGGTGGGAGGCTAGCCCAGAAACACACATGCTGTAATGGATTCATATGGGGGAATGGCATCGAAGGGTGAAGAATCCTTGTGATTGGGAAGGGTGGGGTGAAAGGAAGATGTGCGAGAATCTCCAGTGAGCAGGATCTCCAACAGAGAAAAATAGAAGGCAACTAAATTTCTACCATTTGGCATATGGTTAACCCTAAAGAATACCATTCACTCATTTTCATTAATTAATTAATTAATTTCATTAATTAATTTCATTAATTAATTAATTCACCATCCAATTTGATGCTGGACAAACAGTGGGCAGATCCCAGAAACTGACTGGGAAAGATGCCCGAGATGTATTTTAAAGGAGAAAAACAAGCTGATGACCAGCAATACGTACAGCATGGCATCGTGTATGCAAAAACAAACCAGAAATAATCCTCCTTTAATATGCAAGTAGGTAAACAGAGACAGCCCTGGAGAGACCCAGACACAGTGTCAGCACAAGAGGCATTGGGGGTGTCGGCCGTGTGTTATACCTTCCCTCTACTTCTGCGTTGTTTGAATCTTTCACAGTAATTACGGCTTCAAGTTTATTTCTACATTTTGAGACATTTTCGAAGGCTGTCAGGTTCTTTTTTGTGAGTAGTACAGAGACCCGGGGTGTCCTGAATATCCCCATTTTCCCCTTTTGAAAACAACTGCCAGGCATAGTCCCTTCCTGGACACCCCCCCTCTACACACACACACACACACACACACACACACACACACACACACACACACACACACACGGAGGCCATGCTGGGTGACCCCACAGGAAGAGCCTAACTTGAGTCAGGACCTTTCCCTTTCAAGGCTCAGTGTGATCTGAATGGAAATGGAGCCAGAGTGCAGAATTGAATTCCTGGGTAGCCTTGCCTTTCCGGGAGGCTCTTCTGTGAGCGTTCTCCCCTGGGTGAGCCAGTGCGAGACTGCAGCAACAGTCTTGGCAGATGAAGGCTGACATAATTGAAAGTCACCGGATTCTGAGGCTGCAAGTTCGGGATCCTTCCCAGGCCTCGCTCCCTAGGCGGTCCCTTCACCCTCTTAAGGTTAACTGTGTGTGTCTGGTCTAAAGTGCCTCACCTCTCCTTGTAGAGCGGCTGTTGCAAGGTGAAGGTGTGCCCCCAAGGACCTAATTCGAAAGGCCCTGTCTCTAAACACAGCGACACCCCGAGGTACCGGTGCTAGCCAGTTCCGTGCAGAAATTTGCGTGGACGCCAGCTCGCTCCTAACAGAGTCTCCCAAAAGGCTTCCTTGGCTGGGTGCCCTTACTCCACCACCCCTGCCACCCTGGGCCCTGGCTAGTGTTCCCCTCACGGGCACACAGGAGCAAAGGCCTCAGAGAACACATCAGAAAAAGAGGCGTGATTGCGTCTGTGGCTTGCCGGCCACACCAAGCAACTGAAAATCCCCAAGGGGACCAGGCTAGGCGTGATTTCCTGATAGATAACGCCAGGAAGGAGGAGCCCACACAGCGTGCCCTCCCTCCTCACCCAGTGGCCCTGCTGCCAGGCTGCTCAGCAAACACCTGACTGCTGCTTTTTTTTTTTTTCTTCTCAGCTCATGCCTGTGCAGCTCTGCCAGGAGGAAGCCCAGGGTAGGAGCTGTGCCAGGCAACAGCTGGCACGTTATGGAGCGTCGGAGCAAGATGGAGTTTTTCCAGAAACTGGGCTACAGCCAGGACGACGTGGTCAGGGTGCTGGGCAAACTGGGCGACAGCGCATTGGTCAACGACGTGCTACAGGAGCTGATCCAGACTGGTAGCCGCCCGAGGGTCCAGGACGATCCTGCCAACAGCACTGGAGTAGTGCTGACGCCCCGGGGATGCTGCGGAGTCCGGGACTCTGCCCAGCAGGGCCTGGGACCAGGCTTGGAAGAGGCTGGCGGAGACCCAGCCAGTTACCTGCGGCCCATAGTCATCGATGGCAGCAATGTGGCCATGAGGTAGTGTCCTTGCTTTCCTTCATGCTATTGCTGGGTTCTGGGGCCAGAGACCTTGGTCTCAGGGGTCCAGGGAACCATTTTCCTCGCCGTGGTTTGCTTCAAAGAGTTTTAGGCCCAATGGATGATTTTTTTTTTTTTTTTTTTTTTTTGATTTTCGAGACAGGGTTTCTCTGCGTAGCTTTGCACCTTTTCCTGGAGCTCACTTGGTAGCCCAGGCTGGCCTCGAACTCACAGAGATCCGCCTGGCTCTGCCTCCCGAGTGCTGGGATTAAAGGCGTGCGCCACCACCGCCCGGCAATGGATGATTGAAAAAAACAAAACAACAACAAAAAAAAACTATTACACAAAATAATAGGTTTCTTGATGACATAGTCATCCAAGTATATGACATGCTTTGCCCATAGTCACTTTCCCATTATCCCCTTCTGTCTCTCCTCTTCCCCTTCCACTGGTCCCCTTCCTCCTTAACAAATAGCCCACCCTCTATTTCCCAGCCTTATACAGGAATACACATACATACATATGCCATCTTTGACTTTCTGTGGCTGACTTTTATATTGCTTAAGAAAATGAATCTCAAGTTCCATCCATTTTCCTGAAAATGACACGATCATCATTTTTTTTAAAAAAATAACATATGCTCCATTATGTGTACATACCTCATTTCTTTTTAGCATCCATTTATCTGGCAGTGGGTATCTAGACTGATTCTATAACCCAAATACTGTGAATAGGGTTTCAGTAAACATGGCTGTGAAAGCATCTCGGGGATGTCTGATTTAGAATCACGGAAGAGGTGTAGCTGGATCAAATGGTAGTTCTAATTTGAATTTGTTGGGCTCTTTTCTTTCTTTCTTTCTTTCTTTCTTTCTTTCTTTCTTTCTTTCTTTCTTTCTCTCTCTCTCTCTCTCTCTCTCTCTCTCTCTCTCTCTCTCTCTGTCTTTGTTTTTATTCACTTATTTTAGATCAGGCTTTGAATCCCTCTTCTATGTCTTAGTAGCTGTGGGAACGAGGCAAGTTGCCTCTCTTTCCAGTTCTGTGACATGGAATCAACCCTCCCTAGAGGGGAGTTGTAATAATCTGAGCTACAAAAAGTGCCTGCTGGAGTGTACTCAGCAAGTCGGTGCCGTGACCAGGCTCACAGGAGCAGCAGCCTTCTTCTGAGGGACGGGAGCCAGGGATGGGCAGGAGCCCAGGGTTAGGCGTTGACTGATAGGGCTCCTCTGGAGTCTGTCCCCAGCCAGCTGTGTTATTCTGGGAAGCCGAGAGTACTCGGTTCCTCTCTGTGCAGAGCAGGCCAGTAGGTCTCCACAGTCTCCCTTAGGGCTTGAGAACCAGAATGCAAGAAGTGCTTGGGTTGCCTTCAAAGCCCTCTGCTGGGGGCTGGTGGGGAGGCAAGGCTGCAGTTCCCATTAAGACTGAAAGGAGGGTCTGGGGCCTCTCCCCTCCCGCCTTGAGCTGCTGATAGAGCTAGGCCAGTCTTTGTAACCTGGCTTCTCTGTGTGCTTGGGGATTCCAGCCTGGCGGCGCGTGCGGTCATTGTGCCTGACTTGGCAAAGCTCCGCTGTGGCCCAGTCTCCCAAGCTGCCACACTCAGGGCTGGGTGAGGAGGGCATTGCGCAAACTTGGCCGAGTTACAGCCGGGCAGAGGGCAGAGCCATAGGAAATTGTTCACTCACAGCTATAAATACTTGTACTTCCCTTTTAAAAAGCTGAGTAGGAATTCCGAAAAGCAGTTATCAGCGGGCCCAAATGTGTCAACAGGCATCCCAAGCTCCCCCACGGGGATTTGAGCTCACTTTGAATTTGGCATTGTAGAAGAGAGGTTTGGAATGGCCCAGCCCAGTGTGGCCCAGCCTCAGGGCTGTCCCCACGCGCCCGGCGTGGTGTGTCCCAAGGCCATCGGCTCCGTTTTCCACCTGCTGGCTTTGCCCACAGAGATCGTGATGGAGCCCCTGGATCGTGATGGAGCCCTTGGGACTTAAGCTGTTGTGCATTCGCTCTCGGTGTCTCTCCTACGCCCTCTTTTGGCAGCAGATGGGAAACTATGACATCTTGCTCTCTGGGGGTGTTAAAAGGGACAGTCTCAGGGTATTCCTATTGCTGTGATGAAGCACCATGACCTAAAGTAACTTGGGGAGGAAAGGATGGCTTCCAGGTTACAGTCCATCATCATGAGAAATAGGTAGAAACTCAGGCCAGGAACCTGGAAACAGGAACTGAAGCAGAGGCCAAGGAAGAATGCTATTTACTGGCCTGCTCCTCACGGCATCCTCAGCCTGCTTCTTCACACACCCCAGGACCACCTGCCCAGGGATGGCACTACCCACAATGCTCTGGACCCTCCACATCAATCTCTAGTTAAGAAAATGCCCCACAAGCTTGCTTCTAGGCCAGTCTTATGGAGGCATTTTTCTCAATTATGCTTCCCTCTTGTCAGGTAACTCTAACTTGTATCAAGTTGACAATAAACTAGCCAGGACAGGGGTATGGAAGAATCCATTGCCCAGCGAGACAGCTCAGGTGGGAAAGGCACTTGTCACCAAATCTGATGACCCGAGTTCCCTCCCTGGGACTCACATGGTGGCAAGAGATGGGTATTCATGTTAACTGTCCTCTGACCTTCTCACATATCATCCCACCTATCGATAAATGTACATGATTTAAAAAAAAAAATGAGTCCAATATGCTCCAGCAGCCATAGAAAGTGCAGGGGGAAGAGGTACCTGGCGTCTGCATGATCCGGACAAAACTCACTGGGCAGCAATTGAGAGAAGGTTTGAATGTAAGTTGTCACTGCACAAATCAAAGCCCCCACGTCAGTCCCAAGGTGGTATGTGTTCCCTGAGTTGGGGTGCAAACAGTAGAATGGTTATAGGACAAACAGACTACTTCAGGATGGTGTTTTCTCTCTGGGGGTCAGAGAACACTGTTAAAATGATGCTGGGGAGCTCACGGTAGAGGGCTTTCGTTGGATGGGACTCTCTGTGCTGCCTGGGATTCGAACTGAAACCACATTCTCTATTTGTACACCACTATGGAGTGTCCTGGGTCAATCCGTTCAGTGCTACCACTGCCACCCCCAGACCTCCGGCTGTGGTCAATTTTGTCTTTCCATGCTCAATCTGTGTGGGTTACAAATGGAAACCATTGCACAGACTTACTGCAAAGAAAGTATCACAGTCTAAGTGTTTCCATATACTTTCTGTCGACAAAATATCTCAGTGTCACACACACACACACACACACACACACACACACACACACACACACCCTTTGCCGCTTGGATCCCAGGGAAAAGCACACATTATATAATGATTCTTTGACTGTGGATCTTAATTCATTTCCTTCAAAGGCAAATTCTAAGAGCATGGAGGGTGTGCGCATACATTCTCTGTTCCTCTACTGTCCCTTGCAGTGGGAGTTTGGACAAGCCCTGTGTTCCCAAGGCCAGATAGATCCTTGGCCATGAAAGGCTTGCCACAGAGAGTCCTTCTTTATAGGAATTCAAAATAGTATCTCATTACCTACTGAGCACAGAATTTTAATAACACTGGAAAGATGCTTTTAGGAGATCCTTCTTCTTGGAGGGTTATACGATCCCAGATTGCTTTGGGAAGTGAGGCTGCTATCTGGTCCTGGGTGTGTGGGGGACTGAAAGCCTGGGTGGGACATGTGTCTTTTACCCCTAACATGTCAGACGTGTAGCTCCTGTCGACAGGGACATCTTCCTTGGCTGGCTATCTGTGGTATTGTGTTCCCCCAAATATTGTGCATGCTAATAAACTTATCTGGGGTCAGAGACAGAGCAGCCACAATATTAAACATAAAGGATAGGCAGTGGTAGCACATGCCTTTAATCCTAGCATTCCAGAGGCAGAAGTCCATGTGTTCAAGGATACAGACAGGCATAGTGACTCATCACGCCTTTAATCTCAGAAAGCACGCCTTTAATCCCAGGGAGTGGTGGTAGAAAGCAGAAAGGTACATAAGGCATGAGGACCAGAAACTAGAAGCATTTGGCTTGGTTTAGCATTTGGCTGGTTAAGCTTTCAGGCTTCTAGCAGCACAGTTCAGCTGAGAGCCATTTGGATATGAGGACACAGAGGCCTCCAGTCTGAGGAAACAGGACCAGCTGAGGAATTGGCCAGGTGAGAAAGCTGTGGCTTGTTCTGCATCTGATCTACCAGCATTCAACCCAATACCTGGCTCAGGTTTGATTTTATTAATAAGAACTTTTAAGATTCATGCTACAGCTATCCCTCTGCCCCCTGGAGCTTGCGGCCCCATGCCTTTGCTTACAGGGACCAACAGCTTGACTTTTGACAGCCATGCTTGCTCCCCCTGAAAGAGAGGCTGGCCCCCGGAATCAGTACAGGACATACCCAGACGACAAAGGAGACGGATTGCCCTGGAGGGAAAGCAATCGGGGGTTGACGAGGCTGCACAGTGGCAAGTGAGCAAGTGAGCAAGTGAGCAAGTGAGCAAGAGAGCAAGCGCAGGTGCTTCTGCGGGAGGGAGATTTTAAGGGGAGAAGGGGTGGAGTCTGGGCCAGGGTGAGCTGGTAATCCTAACTGGACATATTAGCCGAAGAGTGAATTTTAATGGTTGGACCTTGATGTTTTGTCTCAGGAACGAGTCAGTGGCCAAGTAAGGGAACAGAGAGACCTTGGGGGCTAGCTTTAAGAATGTAAGTTTTTTTTTTTTTTTTTTTTTTTTTTTTTTTTTTTTTTAAAGGGAGAGGAAAAAGAGTAAAAGGGCAAAACCTGTCTACAATGTTCGGCATGCTAGACCCCCCTCACCCCCACCCACCCCCAGTCATCGGGAAGTTACATTCCAGAAGTCCCCCACAAGCCAACACCCGTTGTCATGTGATGGCTTGAAACAACATGTCTTCAGGTGCCTTTGTTTCTGGAGGGCAGAAGCCTGAGTGGAGCTTTTAGGTTCAATTCCACTTATCCACAGAGCTGAGTTCCGTTTTGGATGCCCTAAGGGAGAGCCTCTTCGCTTACTTTTTCCTACGTGTCTGGACCTGGGGCCCATTTACTTTCAAAGTCATCGATGGCTCGAGATGATATGAGGTATGGCATATTTGTGCACATATGATTGTTTCTCTGCAGAGAAGATTCTTAACAAATAACTAAAGGATCTGTGGTCCCCAAAGAATTAGGGACCACTGACGTACAATGAGAAGTCAGAGATAACGCACCAAGCCACCTGCCCTGTGTCCACACAGATTGTCTGAGGAAGGCCATCTGTCCCCGTCTTTGAATCTCCCAGCTGCTGAGGAAGGGACTTGATGGGTTCTGAGGTCAGCACTTGGTCAAGTTCGAGACCCAGCTTCCGGTGCTCTGTGCCACTCTATGTGGAAGCTTATGTGGCTTTCTCTCCTGAGCCCTTCAGGCTGTTTAGGCCAAAGCTATGGGTGACGGTTAAACCCAGATGGAGTGGACTGGGTCCTGGATTAAAGGCTTTTTATGAGCAAGGGGGATGTATTTGTTCAGGACACAGTGGGCTTTGAGATTTATGAAACACTTTCTGATTATGACTCATCTACATGGAAGGGAACTAGATGTATGTGGCTACTCCATCACAAGCTTCAAAAGCCTTCAGTTCTATGGGTTCCCCTAAGCGGGACTGGTAGCTTACTTTGTCATTCTGTGAGGAGCAAGTCAAACAAATGAGAGCCCTGAGCTGTGAAGTGGATGAGCACTGTCCCAGACCCTGGGAAGCCAGGTCTAACATGTGCTCCACAGTCTCTCCGAAGGTCTCATGTCCACACAGGAAAGCAGAAGGCCAGAGGCAGAGGACTCAGTGTATCTTTGCCTGAAAGTCCAAGTTGTGACCACTTGTTCAAGGCTGTCCAAGACAATTGAGAGAGCAGAAAGTTCTGGGGTTGTATTGCTGCTGTGGAAGCTATTTGCTACATGCGGTGAAACATTGTGTACCCTAATAAAATTTGCAGAAGGTCAGGGAACAGAACACGGCACTAGATTAAACATAGAAGCCAGGGAGTGGCGGCCTACACCTTTACTCTTGGCTCCGGGGAGGCAGAGATCCGTCTGGATCTCTGTGAGTTCAAAGCCACCCTGGACTACATGAGACTGACTCAGTCTAGAAGAGAAACAGAGCCAGGCAGTGGTGGCACACACCTCTAATCCCAATACTTGGGAGTCACACGCCTTTAATCCCAGCTCTAAGAAGGAAGTGATATGGCTGGGTGGAGAAAGGTACAGAAGGCGTGAGGAGACAGGAACTAAAGGCTTTTCAGGCTGAGGAGTCCTAGAGGTTAAGACGCGTGGCAATGGTTTGTTCCTTTGTCTCTCTGATCTTCAGGCAAATTTTTTTTTCTAGGGTACACAATGTATCACCACAGCCACATGTGGCTGTTGAACCTTTGGGAGGTAGCTAATACCACAGAGGACCCGAGGGCTAAACATCATTTCCTGTCTCACTCCTCTGAATTAACTGTAGTGGCGACACAAGCTGACAAAGTGCGTGTCCAGCTTTTCAACTTGACCAACTGAGGAGCCTCCACGAGTCCCAGACCTTATTCTTTTTTTGAGGCCTATTTACACAATTAAGAAGTTTGGCTAGGTAACTTCAAAAGGCTTTTTTTTTTTTTTTAAAGTCTCTGACATGCTAAGATTCAAAGCACTTATTTTATGAATTCTAGAAAGACATGAGGGCATGCTCCTCATAGGGGGACTTCTCTTCTTTGGAGGCTCGGAGACTCAGTGACTCACCCAAGAGCAAGAAAACACCAGCTCTGGGCTGCCATGCCCTGTCCAAAGCCAGCCATCACCACCTTCCCATCCCTTCATCTCTCCATCACCCCTACTAGTTCCCATCCCTACAGCTCCCCCCTCTCCCTGTGTATGGCCTGCGAAATGACTGCTGGCTGGACAACCATGTCCCCACAGGCCTTTGCCCTGGTGTCAAAGCCCTCCTTGTGAAGTACAGCCCTTCAAGTAGCGTGCCAGCTATGGACAGGATGTACCAGGTCCCTATTCCCATCACCAGGGATTTACAGGGCCAGAAACAAGACACTTCCTGCTACCACCAAGGCTGGGATCCCTCATGCATCATGTGCACCTGGAATGGTGGCTCTGGTAGACTCACAGGCCAGAGAATCCTTTCCATTACAGTCCCTTCAAAGGGCACACACTCATACGTGTGAGTGTGCATGTGCGAGTGTGTTCATATAAAGGAGGAGGGAGGAAAGAGAAATCACTGTAAATCTGTTAGCTGTGTAACTGTTCTCTAGACACCTGGCCTCAATGTCCAGCAATGCACTTTATTTATGTAGACACAGTTTCATGTAGCCAAGGCTGGCTTTGACCTTTCTATGTAGCAGAGGATGGCCCTGACCTTCCAATTGCCCTACCTCCACTGTTAGAGTGCTGGGATTGCAGATGGACACCACTGTGCTTGGCTTTATGTGGTGCTGGGGATGGTGCCCAACACTTAGTGCTCCATAGGCTATCACTCTGCCAATGAGCTGTACCCCCAGCCAACCTTTGACCTTCCTCCCTCTCTTTCTAAAACAGCCACCACACCAGACTGCTTTCTTTAGTTTGAAGATAAAGTCTTGCTATGTAGCCTAAACTGGCCCTGAACTTCACGTTCCTGCCTTAGCCTCTTGAATACTAGGATTATAGATGTTAACTACCATGTCTGGGACCAGGTGCCATTTTACTTCTGGGCTGGGGTCTTGGGCTCCTACCAAAATCTGCACCCATTTCTACCTTATAAGAAGGGGGCAGGCCAGGCAGTGGTGGGCACACGCCTTTAATCCCAGCACTCAGGAGGCAGAGGCAGGTGGATCTCTTTGAGTTCAATGCCAGCCTGGTCTACAAAGTGAGTTCCGGGACAGCCAGGACTATTAAACAGAGAAACCCTGTCTCAAAAAACCAAAAAGAAAAAGAAAGAAAGGAAGGAAGAAAAAGAACTAAAAGAAGGGGAGGAGGAGGGAGAGGAAGAGGAGGAGAAGAAGAAGGAAGAAGGAGAAGGAGAAGAGGAGGAAGATGAAGAAGAAGAAGAAGAAGAAGAAGAAGAAGAAGAAGAAGAAGAAGAAGAAGAAGAAGAAGTCATCAACCAAAATGACCCCTATACACCCTCTTTCCTCCCATGACCTGGACTGAGTTAGATCTCCCACTGGGCAGATGTGGAGCACCAGCATTTGAGTGTTCAATAAGAACCTGGGCAGAAATAGCACAGCCCTTCCATCTCAGGGCCCGGAGACATCTTTGTTCATTCCACCCCATGACCATAACCTTGTACCCCATGGGTCATCCTGTGAGCCCCCGACTTCTACAAAGACTTCTTGGACACTAGTCAGAATGCAGTGTGTACAATTATGTTGTCTAGTTTGTGCAAATGACAGTCCTCTTAACCGGCTGCCACAGGTACAGTTGTCATGGAGGCAAAATTTGTTTCAGACACCAGCCACTTCCCTTTTCTATCCTCCCAATATTCAAAACTTCTAGGCCTCCTTTCCCTTCCCATGGCCTCATGGCAGCTGGTTCCCAGGGTCTGTCAATCTCTCCATGGAAGGTCCTCCATAAGAGGACTCTCACTGAACAAGGCTTGTTCTCTGGGTCTCAAAGATTTTGGGTGAAAGGAAGGAAGAGTTTGTAGTGACAATTAGGCCTGTAGAGTGACCACCAGATCAGAGAGCTGGGCATGTTTCTTTGCTTTGGTTTTCATAAGGGTAAAGTGGGGTGAAAGCCATTTCCTCAAGGGAGTAATGGAATGGTAAAATGAGCCATATGACCTGGCGAACAGAACTCTCTATGAGCTTTAAGCCTCTCTAACAGTCCCCATTCCCCTAAAAAGGGACCCCAAAGCCAGGTGTCCCTTTTCTTCTTGTTGTTTTAAGACAGGGTCTTACATAGACCAGGCCGTCCCCAAACTCACAATGTAGCCAAAGAGGACCTTGGTCTCCTGGTTTTCCTGCCTCCACTTCCTGAGTGCTGAAATTGTAGGCATGCACCACCATGCCCGGCTTGCCTGATTGCCAGGGCTTGGGCCCACTGGGCAAACACTGTGCCAACTGAGTTATGTCCTTAGGTCCTGTGCTTTGAATCTTTCGAGAAAAGATCTTTGCAGTCTAGGTTGGCCAGCAACTCATTATTAGCCAAGGCTGGCCTCAAGCTTACCGTTCTGTTTTAACACCCCCCCCACCCCGCCGAGTACTAGGACTACAGCAGCATGTCTAGTGGGTCTCTTAGCCCTCAGCACAGTCTTGTTGTAGTAGGAGTTCGGAGGTTGGTGCAAAGACAGGGACAAAAGCCCAGATGGACACCTTTCTCCTGGAAAGGGACCCAGGATGACTGTCATCTCCTGACTGGAACCCTACTGGGGCTCAGTTCCCCTCCTTTCCCCTCCCACTGAATGCCCCTGAAGCATGATCCTAGTTAGTCTTAACAATAAAAACCAGGAGTCAGATATCGGGGTGAAAGCTGAAAGGTCAGAGAAGCAGAGCAGCAGCCACTAGAGATTTCTTACCTCTATGAATCCTCCGTCCAAAAGGGGACCAAGATCCTGTCTCCACCTCCCGATTGTGCTGAGATCAAAGGCATGAGCCTCCCAAGTGCTGGGATTAAATGTGTGTGCCACCACCCCTTGGCCTCTCTGGTTGACTAGAGGCTAGTTCTGCCCTCTGAGCTCCAGGCAAGCTTTATTTGTCAGAACACAAGCAAAATACCATACAAAAGCCCACCCCCACCACACACCCATCAAAAGATCAGGGAGGGAAGGCTGGCTTATTTCTTTTTAATGCTCGACTCTCTTCAGAACCAATTATATTACCACTACTGCTGTCACTTCCAGACATCCGACTACCATACTCCTTCTACACGGATCAAAACTCACCCTGACTGGAGAGTTCCAGGTTGCAAAAGAGGATTGTCGTTTGCACCTCTCTTTAAGTCTGCCCACCAGTTCAACAGAGACACACGCATGCTGCGTGGTTTTAAGAGTGATGAGACAGATGCACGGGGAGTCCCAGGAGACCGAGCAATTCAATGACTTTCAGAGTAATTGTGGAAGTGACCATTTTACTTGATAACTGACTGGTGGGGCTGGATGACTTTGGACGGGAGTTGTATGTACCTGAGGGAGGGCAGGTGGAGGAGGGGGTATCTGTCCTTCACAGTACTCCTGTATTTCCTCAGTTTTGGGGAATAGGATGGGCTGACCTGACATTTGCCTGTACCCTATGGTGTTCCCTCCCGGTCTAGCCTTGAGGGAGGCTAGGCTGATTCAGACTCTGTGCTTCCATCCCTGGCCTGACTCCTTTCCCAATAACCACTGGGGACATTGAGACCTTGTGTGACAGCTGGGACAGGAGGTCTTGGCTCTCATGGTACTCTGCTACAAGAGTGTCCTGGTGAATTGGGATTGTAACAAGAATTTTAGGGCAAGAGCTGGGGCTTCAGCAGCCCCAACAGCTAAGCCACCCCTGTCCCAACATGCTAATTAAGGAGGCCAGAGACTTAATTAATGTGCACTGAGAAAAGGAACAGAATAAAGGGGTCCAGGGACCCCAAGTTCAGGGAACTGAGATGAGCTTTGGGTTTAAACAAAGGGGGAATTGGAGCAAGGAGGAAGATGTATGCATAATTAGGCAGTCCTGGTCAAGGTGGGGTCCCTGGTTTCGGCTCCAGACTGCAAGGTCATCCCAAGAGGATGGCCACATCTTTGGGTCACCGTCATCACCAAAGGGGCCGGTCTGGTGTTTATTAGACAACTTTCCCTAGGCCAGAGCCTCTTGATTCTGGAGAATGTTCTCACTTTAGAGGTAGCCTGGGCTGCCCGGGAGGCCTTGCTGATCACTGTGGGACCAAGTGAGGTCCAGTGCTTTTTAAGAAAGGAGTTTCTAAGACTTGTGGCAGGACTGTCATTGGGCTTTTTTTTTGGCAGCTATGATGGCTTAAAATAGTCTCCTCCAGCAGGGACTTGTTCCGTCCCTGGGTCTCCGACAACCACCATGCCTCGGGCCTGTAAGAGGTCTGGGAGACTGTTTCTAGCTCCCCTAGGGGCCACTTTCAAACCAGGCAGCCTGCTGAGCCAGAACTGTCCTGAGGATGTGCAGCCTGCCCAGATGTGCTGGCCCACAAGGCTTCAACCTCTTGTTTGAGGCCAGTTTCAGTATCCTGCTCCTCCCAGGGCTTATCAGAAGGAGGAGGAGGGGCCAGGAACAACCCTGAGAATGATCCCCTTACCTCTCTCCCTTCTTCTCTTAACCTGTGTGTGGGGGTGGAAGGGACTCATGTTTCGCTTCCTCCTCCCTTCCCACGGCATCCGGCTGTTATCTTCTCCCTGCTGTTTGCTCAAGCCTCCCAGAGCAGCCTCTGAGGAGGCAGGCAAGTCAGGGTCCTCATGGTTACCGCGGAGGAAGGAACTCGCAGAGATTGTTCATGCCCACTCCAGGTTCTACGGTTACTTGCTTCCCTGAACTCCCGTTCTTAGCCTGTAAACCTGTGTCTGTCCCAATCCCACGTCACACAACAGAGACAGTGCCATAAGGGGAACTCAGTGTGGTCTTTAACTGGGTGTGAGCTGGTTATTTCTAGCCAGGCTTCGGGGAACTTGTCTCAGGGCTGGAGTTCAGAGTTCAGGGTTCGGCAGTTCAGGGTTCAGCAGTTCAGAGTCTTTCAGAGGACCCTGGTTCAGTTCCCAAGTCAGGCAGCTCACAGGCACCCGTCACCTCCTCTTCTAGATGGATCGATGTCTCTGGCCTCCTCCAGCACCCGCACTTGTGTGTACATACTCCCACCTTACACGTTTTTCCTTGGGGGTGGGTGGGGCGGGGGAGAACCTGTTCCAGTCTCTGTGTCCCTTGTGTCTTGTGCTCACGTTGCTGTCCCTTCGGTCCCCAGAATCGGGCTGTAGGTCTTTCCAGGCAGCTCCTCCTTTTTGCCTGTGTTGTCTGTCTTTCTGCTGGTGAGGAGACCGAGGCTGGTATCTTCTCCATCACAGATCTACTCAGCAGGATTTTCACTAAGTCTTCACCAATAATCAGGGGCCATAGCTAGTCCCTGGGATCTTGGTGGTCATGCAGAGTGTCCTGGGTTCGTGTGTGTGTGTGTGTGTGTGTGTGTGTGTGTGTGTGTGTTGTTATTATTGTTGTTGTTTATTTTGTTTTCTGTTTTGACAAAGACTTGCTATGTAAGCAGCCAGGCTAGCCTCCCAACTCCAGGCAAGTCTCCTGCCTCAGCCTTCTGAGAGCTGAGATTATAAGTGTGCATCACCGTGCCTGGCTGGGTGAATGTTCTTAAATGCTAGGAAGTGTCTGGGTGATGGAGTCTAATCCGTCAAGGGATGCTTTCCTGGGGAAGCAAGGGTTTAGAAGAGAGCTGGAGGAAGAGGAATAGGAGTGGGTTTGGTGGGAGGTCAGGAAGAGCTGCTGCAAAGACCTGTTTAGGAAGGTACGTGGTGGAGTAAACAGCTGGAGGAAAACCAGGCTGAGGAGTAGGGAGCAGAAAACGATCTAATCTGGAGGTCAGGCTCCGTCACATCCGTGGCTCAGCTTGTTAATTTTGCCTTCTCAGTGTCCCACATCCAGCCACTTGTCTCTGTCTCCAGCACCAGTGACCTGATTGACCAAGTCCAAGTGCAGCCTAGGTTCACCGGTCCCCCAGAGGGTACTCAGCTGCCTCTTTCCCTGGCTTCCAAGACAGCAGCACATCTGGCTGTTTCTCTTCTTGTCCCTTGAAGAGATCTTTTCTGTCTCTTTTGTAAGACATCCTCTACCCCTGGCTAAAACTAGCGGCTGCATCCCAGACTCATTCCAGGCCAAGCTCAAGGCTTCTAACTTCCTCTCTGGCAGTGGAACAATTCTGTCCACTCTGCGGTTTCAACTCTTGCTTAAGCAGGGGTGACCTATAACCTATACCGCTCAGATCTCTCCTCTGACCTCTTGCTGTTTACTTAGTATGTCTACTGAACAGTCACAAAACTTTCTCCAAGTCACTCTGTATCCAAAGCCAAACTTACGAATGGCTTTTCCCTCCAATCAGAGCCCTTCCAGAGTTCCCTGGTCAGTGCATGGCCCCCACTGTGCATTTATACAAGGAACCCGGAAGTACCTGATACCTTCTCAGTCACTTCCACATCCAGAAACTGAGTTCATATACCTTCTCAGTGTCCCCAAATTCACTTTCTGTTCTCATTTATCCAGCAGCAGCAGCTCAGGCCTAACCACTGACTCTTGTTTGATGATTTCCACAGCTTCTTATCTCACGCCTTGCACCCAACTCACTGTCCTCTGTGGGCCAGAGAAGCACTGTGAGCCACACATGGGTGTCCGCCTTATTCTTATATCTACCTCAAAGCTAAAACCCCTCCACATCTCTCATCCCTTTAAGATGAAGGAAGATGATCCCCCACACACTTTATTCCATATCAAGGTCTTGTGTAGCCCAGGCTAGCCTCAGAGTATAGCCAAGGATGACCTTAGACTTTTGATCTTCTTGTTTCTACCTCCAAGATACAAGGATTAAAGGAATGTGCCATCATTCCCTGCTTAAGGAAGACGATTATATTTTCCTTGAGACAGGGCTTCACTATGTATCCCTGGCTGGCCTGGAAGTCATTATGTAGTCCAGGCTGACCCAGAACTCACAGAGATCCACTTTCCTCTGCCTCCTAAGTGCTGGGATTAAAGATGTATACTCCGGTGCCTGGCTAGGGTGATGATTTTTAAGAGGCCTGAAAGATGCATCAAGGTCTCTCATAGGCCGTTTTCTGCAACAGTGATGTCTTTTGTGGGGTTTGTGGAGACCTGGTTCCTTGCGTGGACTGGGGAGCTCTGGTAGAGCCAGTACAATCATTTCGCAGAGGGGGAGCAATTCTGCAGATGTCTGATATTGTCTATTTTATAATTCTTTTTTTTTTGTCTTTAATGTTGGCTCCTACTAACTTCAGCTAAAGAGTGGACTGGTCAATTATCCTTTGGAATATGCACCCTCCCTGGAACCCAGGGGAGCCTGGGTACCTCTGCGTCCTTATTGGAAGCTGCCTGCAGCCGTGGTCTGTGGGAAGAATGGACTATGTTTAAGATTCTCTTTGCCCAGTTCCCTCTCAGTCTGAGGCTGTGACCCAGAGAAAGTCCCTTTTTGTTTCTCCTCAGATTTCTTTGTCTTCCATTGTAGCCATGGAAATAAGGAAGCCTTCTCTTGCCGGGGAATTCGTCTGGCTGTGGACTGGTTCAGGGATAGAGGACACACCTACATCAAGGTTTTTGTCCCATCTTGGAGGAAAGAGCCATCAAGATCTGATACCCCCATCAGAGGTATGCGCCACCCCTCCACCCCATTCTGTGGTAATGTCACCCACTGTGGTGACCAGCTGCTTGTCTAGAACTGGTTTAGTGGTCTTTCTTCCCGAACTGAAAGCTCCATGAGTTCATAGTTCAATGCTGACTATGAACACTCAGCATTCTCAGAGCAGAAATGCCATGAAAACTTGTAGAATAAACAAACATTCTATAACTCTTACTTGCTCATTTATAGACAAGCACATTGCTTTATCGTTTATTGTGAATGATTATAAAACAATTGTGTCTTATAACATTTAACCCTCTGAAGATTGGATCCACATTTCACAGCTAATAGTAAATAGACTTTGAGGGAGGCGTTCATTCTGTCAGGTAACATTTACTATTTCCCAAATACCGCTTCAACCTCTTCACTTAAAGAAATGGAAATGGAGACACAGAAATTAATTTTAGTGTTTTTGTTTTCTTTCAGTGTTGGGGGTCAAACCAGAGGCTTTGCACATGCTAGATAAGCCTTCTACTACTGAGTTACATTTCCAGACATTTTGTTTTATTTATGTATAATATATGCAGTGTGTGTGTGTGTGTCCCCGTGTCCTCAGAAGCTTGAAGAGAGTGTTGAATTATTGGAGCTGGAGTTACTAATGGTTGTGAGCCACCCAGTGTGGGTGCTCTAACTGGTCCTCTGCAAGTGCAGTCCGTGTGCTTAACCACTGAGCCACTTTGTTTCTGGTCCCCAGCCCCATTTTCTTTCTTTCTTTGTCTTTTTTCTTTTTGGTTTTTCAAGACAGTGTTTCCCTGTGTAGCTTTATTTTCTTTTTTTAATTGAATTTTTTTTTCATGAAATAAATTTTGATCCTGTTTCCCCCTCTCCCAGATCCTCCCTGCCTCCCTACTTACCCAACTTTCTATTCCTTCTCTCTTTCAAAAAAATCTAAACCAGCCAGCAGTGATGGCCCACGCCTTTAATCCCAGCACTCGGGAGGCAGAGGCAGGTGGATCTCTGTGAGTTCGAGGCCAGCCTGGTCTACAGAGCAAGTTCCAGGCCAGCCAGGGAAAACAAACAAAAACCAAAGATAGAAAATAAAATGAACAAAAACCAAGAAACAATCCATATGTACAAAAATGAAAATCAAAACCAAAAAGGAAAATAACAATAAGACCAAAAAAAAAAAAAAAGAGCCCCCAAAAGCAAAATTAAACAAAAAAAAAAATCCACAAAAAATGCCACTGAGGATATCTTGTCGTTAGTCAACCAGTCCTGGATATGGGGCTTGCCCTGAGTGAGGCATCATTGATACACACAGTGAGACGCCTTTGGAGAAAACTGATTTTCCCTTTACGAGCAGCTATCATTTGCAGACAACTTCTTGGTTAGGAGTGGGATCCTGCATACACTTCCCCCTCCCAGTCCTGGGACAGCATGTGGATTGAATCTGTGTAGGTCTTCTATGTGCTGCCACAGTCTCTGAGAGTTCATGTATACATCAGTCCTGTTGTGTTTAGAGGACGCGATTTTCCTCCTAGAATCTTTCAGCTTCTTCTGCCTAGATCCCTGAGCCTCGAGGGGAGTAGTTTGATAAAGATGTCCCCCTCAGGACTGAGTGCCCGGAAGTCTCTAACTTCCTGCACTTTGTCCAGTTCAAGGTCTCTATGTTAATTTCCATCTACTGCAAGAAGTATATTCTCTTGTACAGGTTGAGCTGATCTATGAGTATAGCAGTATATCATTAGAAGTTATTTTTCTGCTATGTCCCTTTGGCAGAATAACAGTAATAGGTTTTTCCCCAGGCCCATGACCTATCTAGTTGAAGGTTCTTGGCCACTTTAACAGTGTCTCACAGAGTGGTCCTCAAGTATTAATTATTAATCCAACAAGAAAGTGGTTGGCTACTCCTGTAACAATTGTGCTGCTGTTGTGTCCATGCATTTCACAAGCAGGTCACTGTGGCAGGTTGCAAGGCTTGTAGCTGGGTGGTATTAAGAGTACCGCTAGGGACGGGCGGTGATGGCACACACCTTTAACCCCAGCACTCAGGAGGCAGAGGCACGCAGATGTCTGCGAGTTCGAGGCCAGTCTTGTCTACAGAGTGAGCTCCAGGACAGGCTCCAAAGCTACGCTGAGAAACCCTGTCTCAAAAAAAAAAAAACAACAACAACAATGAAAAGAATACCTTCTAGTCTCATGAATGGTAGTCAGTAGAGGAGAAGCTTCTAGTTGGGTACCAGCTTGACTTCGCATGTTTGATGGCGTAAATAAGTATCATCTTCAGAAATGGGCCTTATCATCAAATTATGGAGAGTAATCAATAGCCTTGGTGATAGCCTCTGATGTTTAGGGGTTCCCAATGGAGCCCTTTGGCCAGTGGCTCAATGAAATAAAAACAAAATAAAAATTCCTGGTACTGGGGGTTTTACTTGGTAGCTTAAGATGTCTAGTTGGGGCATTGCCTCTTCTTCTATTATTTGGTGACTCCATTTAGATTCCTTTCATGTATGTATATATTTTAGGAAGCTTCTCAGTAGTAGGTTTTCCAATGGCCTTTAGTGTTAGCTGCTCCTCTCCATAGTCCTTCCTTTACCCTTCTCTCCCATCCCGCTCCATATTTAATTCTCCTGGTTTCCTTTTTGTCTCTCCATAACAATGTATTCTACTTCCTCTTCCTTTATAGATCTTCTTCTCCTTGTTAGTCCCTTGCTAGATACCTAACCTTGGTATTATTCAGATTCTAGCACACATACTGAAAGCTAAAATTTGAGATTGGGGATGGTGATGTCTCTAGAGGCTTTTATTATTCAAGATTTTAGCTACCCTGGGATTTTTGTGTTTCCAAAATTATACTTTTAATTTCTTTGAAGAATTGTCTTGAGATTTTGATGAGGATAGTATTTAATCTGCAGATTGCTTTTGGCAGGATGACCATTTTTACAGTATTAATCCTACTGATCCATAAACATAAGATCCTTCTGTTTTCCGGTGTTTTCTTCAATTTCTTTCTTACACGTCTTAAAGTTTTTAGTATACATATTTTTTTTACTTGTTTGGTTAGTTACCCCCAGATTTTTGAGGCTATGATAAAAGGTATTGTTTCCCTGATTTCTTTATCTGTGACATTTGTATACAGGAAGACTAATGGTTTTCGTGTGCTAACTTTGTAACCTGCTACTTTGCTGAAGGTGTTTATCAGCTGTAGAAGTTTCTTGGTGGAATTTTTAGGGTCATTTTTTGTACAAAATAAAGATACTTTAATTTCTTCCTTTCCTATGTATATCCCCTTGATCTTCCTTCTGGTGTCTAATTGCTCTAGCTAAGACTTCAAGTTCTATATTAAATAGGTACGGAGAAAGTGGACATCCTTGTCTTAGTTCTGATTTTCATGGAAATGCTTTGAGTTTCTCTCATAAAAACAATTAGGCAATAATCATTCTGTTTCTGTTTTGCAGAATAATTTGAGGAGTATTAGTGTTAATTATTCTTTGACAGCCTGGTAGAATTCTGTGCTGTATCCATCTGGCTTGGGGCCTTTTTAAGTTGGGAGACTTTAAAATACTGTTTCTATTTCACTAGGGTTTATGGTGTGTTGAAATTGCTTATTGTATCTTGATTTAACTTTGATAGGCAATGTATATCAAGAAATTCATCCATTACTTTTAGGTTTTCTAGTTTGGTAGAGTA